CATCAGAGCTACAAATAGCCAAATAGCAAGCCTGGCAGGCGTCCAGGACCCTCATCCCCACCCATAGTGGGTCAAAGACATTACCACCTCTGGGGTATTTGGCTGGGGGGAGGTCATAGCTGAGCAGCCTGTCAGTCCCAGAAACTAATTTCTGTCTCTGTCTGAGCTGAGAGCTCCAGGGGAAGAGTTTTTATCACAATTGTGATTATAGCTGATTCCCTTTACAGTTCAGATTTAATTCTTTAATATACAAATGATGATCCATTGGTCTTTGTCTAATGTTGTAGGATGAGCAGAAGGCAGAGGATAAGCTTGCAAAGAAAAGAGCAGTCTTCTGGCTGAAGCAGCAGAAAAGGGAGGTTTGACTCTGTAAACTAGAAGCACAATCTGGGCTGAAACAAAATGAAGCAAGGTAACTCTTACCAACATTAACATCAGTGTTCAAATGTTGTTCTGCCGAAAAGATGCTGACGAGCAGGTGTTTGATTTCTACACCAGAAGGAAGGCCGAGGAGGAAGAAGAAGAGGAGACGAGGTGGGAGCTGATAAAGCTGGAGTATCTGTGGAGAAAACAGCAGGAGCTGGGACTTGAGAAGCTGAAAACACTGTAACGGAAGCAAAAACAGAATCTGTGTTCAGAGAGGAATCCTCCAGCGACAAGTGCTCTTCCTAATGTCAGACACAACACATAATCAGTTTGACATTTAGCTGAAGCTCCATTTTTCTGTTGTACACATGACCAACTTGGCTGCAATGATTTTCTATTTTACTTCAACAATACACACATTTCCCACTCTTTGGATTAAATAGTGGATTTAAATAATAGGTTTAAATATTGAATTCAGGGTTCTCTGAAGAATTTTATAGTGAAGGTGGGTTGTATCATGTGAAACACAGACTGCAACTGGCTTCAACACTAAAACTGATACTCTTTTATTGAATAAAAAATAAATTTCAGAGGATAAAAGATACTTTACACAGTACTTTGACTAAACAATGTATACAAATTAACACGTTCTTCACATCCATTTTATTTGTTTAGATTATTTAGATAATTCCTATTGAATCTTCACTTTAAACATTTACATTTAGCTCCACCGCATCTCCCATTACTTCCATGGCTGAATATACTGGAACACACACAGATTATCAGATGATATCACACGTTACCGTTACAGCAGACCCCTGATGGTGTTTTTTCAGTTAGCCATCGATCAGTGATGAAAAGACCATATGTCACCTTCATTGTTATACTTGCTGTATTTTTCAGAACACAATAAACAGAAAGCAATAACCTGCCAAAAGGATTGATGTGTGATGTTACAGTTAATTCTAATAATTATATGACTGTGTTATGTGTCATATAATAATTTTGGTGGTGCCATTCCTCCTCCAAGTCCCAAACTGTTAAAGGAGCCCAGAGCCAGGTCAAACAGTCCAGTATTTCCTCGTCATTCCTGCCAATACTGTGTCAGTGAGCGTGGACGCCTGGTTCAGGTGATGATTCTCTGAAGGGTCATGACTTTAAGAAAACCCTTTCACTTTGTCACAACATTTCTTCATCATCTTCACATATTGTTATTATAAACATATTGATTACAGATGTAGTAGTAATATATCCGAACACTTCCTCCACCTCTGTACGATGGGTGTAGCAGTGGTTGATAGCTGCTGATCATATACAACATCGTTGCGACCTGAGAGGTGGATGTGTGTCTCAGGAAAGACACTTGATGCCCTAGTGAGTCAAAATCAATATGAGGATTTAAGTTCACTGTAATACACACACACACACACACACAGTCATTTGCATGCATATACAGACTCAAGCAAGTCAAAAAATTAATTACAGTGATAACGGTGACACACCAATAACAAGGTTTAATAAATGTGTACTGAGCTTCAGTGACTGACCGACTGACTAAAAGCTGATGCATGCATCAATAACTGTAATTATGATTCAGTCCAGGAGAACAGTCATTATTTTAGAACATAGTGTATAAATATACACACATATCAAATATCTGACATTAAGATGTTGGGAAAAAAACAAGGACAAAACATTTGACCATTATATGCTTATGACACAACCAAACCTGCATTTATGTCCTCTGCCTAAGACCTGCCGCTGAAAATCTCTTAAACCCTTCTGCCTTTTCAACTCCCTTTTGTTTACAAGCCTTTCACACCAGCCAGAGACACCAATCAACATTCGGTTTTCTCACAGGCTCTTACAAAAAAAGATTTGCCGCATAGAATTGCTCTGGCACTCCATGCTTTCCAGTATCAGCCTTTCATGGGCTCATCACAGTTGTGCATCCGATTTAGTGGTTCTTCTTGTAGACTATTCAACTGGTCACCCCCACCAACTGATGTGGTGTGAAAAGAGCTGTGGAGCAAATGTCTGTGCTGTGGGCAGAGAGAGTGACGAAGGAGATGATAGAAGGACAACAACTGGGGGATAATCAAAATCTTTTCACACTGCTGACTGACATATCTCTCGAGGGTTTTTGTAAAATCAGGGTCATTATCATTATGAGATAATTAAACTGGTATTCATTGTTCAATTATGGAGTGGAAGTAAGTGTATTTACTGTCTTCCTCAGTTTAACCCATTTCGGTGGGCATCTGCAATTTTTTTTTTTTTACTGTGCTATACTGGAACGTTTGAGAGTTTCTTTGGACCCCAGCGCAGAGACAGATTCACAAGGCAATAGTCTGAGTGAAGGTTAAACCGGAGTTTATTTGCATGACAACAAGAAGACACGAGGATGTGATAAGGTGAAGAGCGAATGGTTGTTACTGCAGGTAACTGCTGGTCTGTCCTCCTCGACCCACCTCCCAGAACGCAGCTGCCATGACACATGAAGGCTGGAGGATGGGCTCAGGCAGCTTGCTGGGGGACTTGGGGGCCTTTTGATGGGAAAGGGCGTTGGGTTTCAGATTGCAGGAACCGAGTCTGTAGGTTAGAGTGAAGTTAAAGAAAAGAGCCCACCTTGCTTGTCGAGGGTTTAACCTTTTTGCAAACTGGCGATAAGCCAGGTTATTATGATCCATCCACACGATGAAAGGAAACTCCGCCCCCTCCAACCAGTGCTGCCACTCCTCTATAGCCAACACCACCGCCAGGAGCTCACGGTTACCAACATCGTAATTACGCTCAGCCTGTGAGAGACGATGGGGAAAAAAAAAAAGGTACCAGGGTGTAATTTCTTATCCTCTGGAGAATGCTAGGTGAAGATACCCCCACGCAGTGCCCATGAGGTGAACTGGCACCTCTCCAGTTGCCAGTCCACCTTAAATACTTTTTTAGTCCATGCTGGACTTGAACTGGCCACCCTCTGGTTCCCAAGCCAAATCTCTATGGACTGAGCTAATGCTGCCCCAGACGAAATGGCGGGAGAAGTTGGCAAAGCCGAAGAAGCTGTAGTTGTTTCCTGGTCTCGGGGACAGGCCACTCGCTCACAGCCTGTACCTTGGCGGGATCTGCCCTGATACGTCCGTTCTCAACAATGTAGCCCAGGAAGGAAACAGACTGAGTGTGGAAACTGCATTTTTCTGCCTTCACAAAGAGTTTTTTCTCCAAAAGTCTCTGAAGGACTAATCTCACATGCTGCTGGTGTTCTTGCAGACATCCGGAGAAGATTAGGATGTCGTCCAGGTACACAAACACAATGCGATTCAGCATATCCCTGAGTACGTCATTAACCAGATTCTGAAACACAGCGGGGGGCATTGGTGAGGCCGAACAGCATCACCCAGCACTTGAAGTGTCCTAAGGGGGTGTTAAAAGCAGCCTTCCACTCATTGCCTTCTTTAATAAGGACCAAGTGATTACTGAGGGCTAGTTTTGAGAATATGGAGGCTTGATGGAGAGGACTAAAATCTGAATCAATAAGGGGTAGAGGATACTTATTTTTTACAGTGATGTAATTAAGGGAACGGAAATCAATGCAGGGTCTCAGGGAACCATCCTTTTTTTAAACAAAAAGAAACCTGCACCTACCAGGGAAGATGATGGTCTTATGAGCCCTCCAGTCAGGGCTTCCTGGATGTATTGGCCCATCGTTTCTCTTTCGGGTTTGGACATATTGTACAGCCTGTTGGAGGGAAGTGTGGCATCGGTGAGGAGTTTTATGGCACAATTTAAAGGTCGTGTAAGGGCATTGTCCTTGCTCAATACCTCTGCCAGGTCATGGTAGGCTAGGGGAACTTGGGACAGAACAGGGGGGTCCGCAAAGGAAGAATGATGGGGACCAACAACCGGACAGGCCGACCTCAGGCAGTTGGAGTGGCAGTAAATGCTCCAGCTAGTAACACTGCTCCGCCTCCAGTCGAAGTGGGGGTTGTGCAGTTATAGCCAAGGCTGACCCAGAACTAAGGGTGAGTGAGGTGAGGGGATGACTAGAAATTGAATTCTCTCACTGTGATTGCCAGATGTAATAAGGGTATTGGGGACGCTTTGGTGGGTGACTAGTGCCAGGCTGTCCCCTCTGCCTGATGAGCCTTATCTTTTGGCCGGCTGGTGCACTGGGCGAGGGTGTGGCAAGGCTGGCCGCAGACAGAGCCTCTCTCTAAACCTTCGTTGTCGCTCTGCTGCATAGTTTCTTTGGACCCCATTGCAGGAATCAAGACACGGGAAAGTGACTCTAAACACACTATCTAGAGCAGCCACGAATGAGATACTACCACAGTGGTATCGTGGACGGACTAGCGAAGACTGGGAGCACGGCCCGGGTAGATATCCTGTTGCTGATCAGAGGATGAGCTACAGTTGCGGTGGTGCAGTGTCCCTTGCACGCCTTGCCAAGTCATCAGAGGAATGGCAAACACCTGCTGAGGGAAGAAAAACACTGGAAGGCACAGAGAGGCTGTGACACATTATCTGGATATTCTCATCCACCTCTTCTTCTCCCAGGAGACAAAACAGTAGATATGAGTCGGGCCCCTTTTCACTGGTTTCTCATTTTCTCTGTCATTCCTTGGAGAATCTTCAGGCAAACAAGGATTTCTTACAGCAAAAAAAAACATGTCCTCTCTCTAGAGGGCAGGTAATAGATTGTCGCACAAGGTACACGCATGCAAAATTGTGTTTTTGTGTATATGTGAAGTGTGAAAGTGTGTGGATGCAAAATATACTAAATAAAGGGAGAATAGGTAGGAGGAGGCACAGCTTGTGAGTATTTGCCGTGGTTATGTGGGTCCCTCTTCTTTCTCCCTCCCTCTGTCACTCTGACTCTCAGAGCTGAGTGAGACAACACTGTGCCTGCCTGACTCCTCAAATCACTGTGGCGCTGTAAAAGCTGCAAGGAAGCATGTCTAACTAGAAATTTAAGATCTGCAACTAGAAAGAAACAGGGTGAAGAAACAGAGAAGAAAAACAACTCATATTGCTGAACTGCAGAAACGCCACACAGGGATTTTCTCAGTGTCTCCGTTCTTGAACATCTGCACAGGTAAGATACAATTCACTGCATGCATTGACAATAATGATTTAGGATTTTTATTTAAATAAGGACACACACAAAATAACATGGCACCATCATTCTTCCACACATGTTTGTCCAATAATTTTGATTGCATTGTTTGTGATTTGCATTATTATCTAATTAGATTTTAGATTTTTAGTATTGTCTTTTAAAAAGCTGTATTGTATAATCAATATGTTATTTGTTTTGAGGCTGGACAAAATAATGAAGTGCCTAATGGAAATTGACTTCAATCTCAAAGTTACTTACGATCACTGCCAAACAAAAACTGTCCCAGATTCATCAATTTCAAAGGTTTAATCGTCACCACTTGTGTCTGAGCTTTCAGAGCATTAGCACGACAGCAGAGCACCAAAGCATCTTTCTTCAAACAGCAGGTGCAGACAGGAGGTACGATCACTCCTAATAGCCACAGATTTAATACTATTTATAGGAATTACAGTTATAATATGCAAGATATAGCACAATTGAGTTTTTGTGCTCAATACAATACGATTACAGGAACTTTCATTTAAACTATATGCAACATCTCTGATTTATGTTTCTGTAGCCAGTAGGGTAGTTGGGTAATTTGCAACATATCCATGTGCATGCATGGGGGATGTATATACATATACATATACATATATACATACATACATTAGAAATATGAAGCATTTAAGCAATATTCATGCAAAGCAACAAAAATGTTTTGACTGCAAATCATATAGTTGCACATTGTATTCATATGAATAAATTGATACATATTCATATTTAATATTTAAATGGTATAAAAAATTAATTCTTGACCAATGGGCAACACTTCATTCTTTTAGCCGGCATTCAGCCCAACACAACTAATCTTAAACCCTCAATGCTATTTTTTATTCCCAGAACTTTTAGAAATGTATATATATATATATATATGTTTGGTCATCTTTCATTATATCTTTAGTTGTTCCTTGGCAGATGTTAATTATAGAGGTTTTGACCTCTCCTAATGAGAGCGTCAGCAGCAGATAATAACATTCGGCCAGCAGTTGATCACTCTCACTGCATTGTAAAACTTCAGTGTGACTGTAAAACACCTAAAACTGTCCAGTATCTGGTTCAGACTTTCATAACAATGCAATTCAAACACAACATTTCATTTATGAAGATTGACTGATAGAAATGAGATATCTTTATTTGTAGCACAAACTATTTTTAACTGTAGTATTTGCACTGAAACACATTTTGTGTGGCTATAATGAACAGGAGCAGACCTCCTGCGTTTCTAAGTTAAATATCGAACCATTAACCATTACCTCATCAGAATTGCGTATCATCAACCTAATTTGGCCCCTAACTCTTTGATGTCTCTGCACTCTCACAATGATGGAAGTGCAAGATTGATAGAAAGTGCTCAGGTTGGGAAATGTCAGTGGAGGTGGAGAGAGTGAAAATGTAAGGATAGAGCAGAGGAGAGAGAGCAGGCTGAACAGAGTGAGAGTCACCATGAGCCGTCCTTCCTGTTTTGCATGTTGAGGGTTCTCAATTCTCCTCACGTCTCATAAATTAGCTGCCTTCAGTTCCTACAAAGGCCGCAGTAACAACGTTACTAGGCAAGGGTGGGTTTCTTCCAGGCATTGAGATGAAGTGGCAGCTTGGAACCAGATGGGATCAGAAAACCTATTCCTGCTGTTGATTGTGGACACGTGCAGAGCAAATTAGAAATTTAAGTCTCAATAACATCTGCATCTGACAGGAGCTAGATCCGACATGAAGAGAGCTGCTCGGCAAAAAATGTCGACTGCCTGGATTAAAATTGGACATGGAACATTTCCAATATGCTCTTCAAGCTTATTGCATGGATGTGTGAAACAAATTGAATATCTGCAGTGGAACCACCTGTTAAAGATTTTATCAACTATTTGAATCATTCGTTCAAACAGTGATGGAATTGAAAATCTCAGCTGTGCTGTAACCACCTTTATTGAAAAAGCTTGTTTGCAGCAGCTGCTCAGTGGGCTTTAAAGGTCCAGTGTGTAAGATTTAGGTGAAAGGGATCTATTGGCAGAAATTTAATGAAGAATAATCCTCATGACGTTTTCACTAGTTCGTTTCATCTAAATTGTATGAATTGTAGTTTTCTTTACCCCAGAACAGAGCCTTTATATTTAAATAATCACATCAAACCACTCAGTGACACATCCTTCACTTCAATTATCTGCATTTAGGTTCTATCACTTAGATTGATCAGGCCTCTAATCGTCCTCAATGCATCTAGGGTGTTCACATGTCGCACTTTTGATCTGATCGTGAGATGATCACCAGATCAAATGAGATTCATGGATCATAGTGAAATGTCTCAATATGATTTGATGGATTCAATCCAATGGACACCCGCTATCATGCTAAACCAAGATGGTGAATGCTGTATTTTATCATTGCTATCATGCTAACATAAGCATTGAGCTTAAAGTACCACTGTACCCAAATAAGCAGAATGATCTGTAGACTCTGATGTTTTTGTTTGTATTTCTTCTGTTGTTTGCACAAATTTTACCACTCTGGCATTTGTGTGAATTCAGCTCCCAGAAAACATACGAAGCAGATTCATGAAGCCACAGGATGAGTCATTATTTTTGTTCAAGCTGAGCCATTCCCATCTTAAAATCATTTTTTTGATGCCCCAGGCAAATTTGAACCCTCCACAATTTTATCAACAAATCAAACATTAGGAAGAAGATCTCAAGAGATTAGTTTAACAAATAATTTCAGCAGCATTTTCTACCTCTGTCCTGTCTAATATCAGTCATATCCCACCACTTCTCTAAACACATTGCCTCACTTTGAAATATAACTGTAAGTGTTCTTCTATGGACAACCACAAGTGTCAAAACCATAAT